TAGGCAGGTGCATGCACTTGCCAAAACCCCGAATCCCAAAGCCTGCACAAGTCTCTTAACCCTATAAGCCCTCGAGAAGATACTAAACCCTAAACCCTAAACCCCTAAACACTAAAGCCTAAACCCTAAACCTAATGTCGGGGCCTTAATAATCAGAGCAGGCTTCTGGGGGTATCTTGTACCACAAGTTATGATAAGGAGTGTCAAAATACGGTTGGTGATATACATAAATCTTGCGCTACCCATCATAAGGAATATACCATAATTCCCAAAGTTTAGGATCCTCGAGGTAATGCAGGATTCTATCATCATCAGTAGTATTGGTACTTGCCCCTATAGTAACTCCCATAGGCCCTTCAACCTGCTACTCCCTTGGTTCAAGCCAAACTTGGACACTAGCGGTCATTGGCCGGGAGCTGCAATTCTCTTCAAAAGCACGAGGACAAGGTTTCACGGAGGGCCCAACCCAAGTACTTCAGAGCACTGCTGCCTGGGTTTCCATATGGGGGTTTCCGAAAATAGGAAACTCCCATATAGTATGGAGTTGATTTTGTGAAAGACCCATCAGCATTGCCTTTTTGGTACTTTGCTTTAAGCCAATGCTTCCGATTGAAAGCTGCCTTGCAGCTTTGGGTTGCGAGGAATTCGGCCGACGGATTGCTGGTGTGGCAGGCGAACTCATCTATACTCCAAACGCGTTGCATTATCGTTGTCATTATCAGCATCAGCAGCATGAGCAGCAGTAGCGGCAGCAGAGGCATCGTCAGCATCGTCACCATCATCATCATCACCATCATCATCATCACCATCATCATCATCATCATCATCATCACCATCCGCACCCTGACAGTCGTTCACGCATCCATCTAGCCGGAAGTACGTGCATATGTGTACGAAGTGAACAGGTCACCTGGTCCACATCCAGGAGTGTTTCGTCGGAGCTGTTGCCAAACTTTAACCTGGCCCATCGGGCTTTTCAGACTCAGGCTTCCGGAGCGGGGTCTTTCGGGCATATGGGTTCTGAAGCCCTACCTTCAGGGTTTAGGGTTTAGGGTTGATGATAGAAATCCTGCATTACCCAGAATTAAAAAGGAATATAACTCCCATAGTTTAGGGTCCTGAAAAGGAATATAATTCCCATAGTTTAGGGCCCTGAAGGTAATGCAGGATTTAAATCATCAGCAGAAGTGCGCCTTAGCCTTATTTCTACAGCAGCCAGCTGCTCTTGGAAGCAATGTTGCACGCAAGAAAGCCCCCGATCCGAACTCTAAACCCTGAAACCGTAGGGTTTAGGGTTTAGGGTTTAGGGTTAACCCACAACCCTAACCCAAAACCGGCCTGAAGCCAAAACCTGCAAACCTGACCCCAAACTGCTGCTGCGCCCTGCAACTGTCGGTACTGAATCGGGACCCGCTGTGCGAGTGGGGAAGTTTGTGGGCTCAAGGGTCTAGAAAAGTTTAGGGTTTCGGGTTGGGATTCAGCGTTCGGGTACAGGTTAAGGGGTAGAGGCCTCAAACCCTAAACCCTAAACCCTGAACCCTAACCCTAAACCCCTAAACCTAAACTAACCCAGAAGAGGTAGAAGAGTCCTTGGAAAGCGATCTTCCTACCGCCCCCACGTCGCCTCACACCGGAGAAAGAGTTGAACCCTAAACCCGAAACTATACTAAACCCTAAACCCTAAACCCTAAACCCAAAACCCTAGAAGCCCTATGCCGTAAAGATATCCTCTCGAGGCTAAGACCCTACTCTCCAAACAGCTCCAGGCCCACCAGGCCTTCAGCCCTACACACCCTCAAACCCAAACCCTAAACCATACCTAGGGCCCGGTTTAGGGTTTAGGGTTTAGGGTTTAAGGTTTAGGGTTTAGGGCGAAACCCCCATATGAAAAAACCCGAAGCCCCTATGAACCTTGGAGCCCCTTCTAGGAACCCTGAACCCTAAACCCCTAAAGCCCTATAAACCCTAAACCCTAAACTCCTAAACCCCTAAACCCTATAAACCCTAAACTCCTAAACCCCAAATCTCAAAAACCTTAAAGCAACCCCAGCCCCCGCAAGCCCTCGGGGTAACCTGAGCTTCGGTCCCCACTTGCTTCATGACCTCCGCACCTGCTTTCAGCATTGGGTTTAGGCTTCGGGCAAGCGGTCTGGGGTTGTTTGGGGTTTAGGGTTGAGGGGTTCCGGTGTTCCGGTTTCGGGTTTGGGGTTTCGGGTTGAGG